TGTATTTTCTATGGGTATTTCTATATGTATTTTCTATGGGTATTTCTTTATGTATTTTCCATGGGTATTTCTTTTACAATTTATACTTTTGTTGGATGTAACTGGGACCCTGGATAAACAATTTTGTTCCACCACATGTACCACATATGATGCGAATGACAATGAAGAAACCTTGACCTTGACCTTTTTAAGTCAATTGGTGGGTGACTTGGGTAGAAGGGGGGAAGGGAGGAGCTTCCTCTTAAATAGAGAGTTTGTTGTAGGGGACGATGTTGCTTTAAATCAGGGATGACCTTTCAGCTACATCTAAGATTATGATGTTATTCGACAGATGTGCAAAATACCATTGCTTAACCCAGTACCTGCAGTTTATCATATTCAGCTGCTTCACTGACCGTCTTCATCACATTTGGATAATGGAAGTGAAACCACCTTGTTTTGTTTACACCAGTCATGTAGTTTAGCTGGTTTAGCAGCTGGGTTTGAGCAAGGCATTTGGCTGATGTCCAGGTTGATACACCACCTAAAATGCAGTGCAAGCCACACCCCATAGCTGCTATGTCACCAGTAGATTTACGTCCCCTTCTTTTGGACTTTATAGTTTCATGTTCATCAGTGTGTTTCAGTGTTAATTTCTGTTAGTGGTTTCTCAGCTTTCCTGTTGATTGTTTCCCACAACCGCTGTCCCATAAACACCCGTCAGCCATCTGTAATCATCTCACCTGCTTTCATTGACCAATCATCCATGCCAGAAGATTTGTTTCTTGATTTTACTCAGTCTTTGTTAGACCTTTGCACGTATGTCATTGTCTTGGTTTTAAGTTCAGTCCTGAATTTTTATTACTCGCCTCATTGAGTTTTATTTATTTATTTTGTTATTGTTATAATTATTGGTTTATACCTGTCTGTCTGTCACTCTTGGGTTCTCACTAATCATCAGTGAGACACGAGGTGCCCTATAAGCTGCACTGTAAGTGCCACAGCTAGCTTCTGCCACCACTAGTTATGCTGCAATTAAACAAACAGTTCTATTTAAATAACCATCTAATGTGAAACGGAGGGTAACGCAATGATTTTTGAAAGCAATGACGTCAATTTTTGAGATGGACTATCTGGTCAGAATCAAACTCTTTTTGTCCAAATCGAGGTAATTCAAAGAGCTATCAACAACAGGTAAGATGTTTTTTGGTCATGTAGTGAGTCACGTGGGTACGTGTCACTAGTTGTAGTATGACAATATATCCCCGTTTATATGCATACTTTTTCACGTGTTCCTCATCTTTCTGACTGTGTAAGTCGTGCATTGAATTTTAACAAAAATGTAACGAGAGACGTTGTTTACCTTTGACCCATCAAAATGAATGGAGTCATTTATTTTCAGAATCAAAGTTTAACATCAAACATTTACATTAATTTGGCAAAATTATGAAAATAATAACAGACAGTTTCACAGAAAATGAGCATCGATCACTCGGCGGTGAACGAGGACTTTGCTTCAGATATTTCTAAAATATCTGTACTGGTTTTGTGAGAGAGAGAAGAGTTTAAGATGAAATGGAGATTTTCTTACAGAGAACTATGTGAGAGAATTAATATCTGTTGACCAGAACGTGCACGCTTCATCAGATCTCAGCTCGCCTCCGGTACACTTTAGTCGAAGAAGAGACCGTTACCTGGTGATGATAGATCAGCTCGATAGCGAATCCTCCAGACCTTTCAGCGTCTCCGTTGAGAGCTGCTGAAATCCTTAGATAGTCGTGCGTGGGTTGTTCAAACAGAAGTTATAATTCCAAACGTCTCTGACTCTCCTGAATTCTCGAATTCTCTTCCATTCACTTCACCATTCTCCATGAATTCCCCATGAATTCCCTTCAGAACTCCTTCAGAACTCCTTCAGAACTCAGTTGAGAACTTTTTGAGAACTTTTTGAGAACTAACTTGAACTGGGGAGTTGCCACATTTTAAATGGGTCGACTTCCGGTTCAATTTAGAGCTTTCTGATTCGTGGATGTACCAGAAAGAGGTGTGGTTTTTGACGTAAGGTATTATCAAAAGTCGAGGTCAGGGAATGAATTTGTTTTCAACATACAGAAAAGATTATTGCAGAATACCAGACTTTTTGGAGCCTCACTCTGTTGTATCTTTCCAAATAGTAAAACATGACATCCCTTTTTCAGTAAACATTTAGTTGACCGAAGCTTCAACTTTCACATACTTACGACTTGGCTCATTTCAGACAGAAAATCAAGAAATGCATATTCAGGTGATTTCTTCTTTGAA